TGTGTATATATATATATATATATCTCTTTAATTTGGAATAGGAGCCTGTGAGGCCATCAAGGAACAAAATCAAAATGTTCCCATACCATAACCACAAATTCATAATTAACAGCCGCAATAAAGACCCTTTATTGTAGAATCATACACAGCTGATCACCATTTTTTTTTATTTAGTCGAAATAATTAAAGACTAATTTGTGTTCGGATATGTAACTTTCACCACAGAAGTACTTGATCTTTAATTTCCTGTGTGTTGTTTCTTCTCTCGTCCGAAACATTCACCATTGACAGCTGCAGCGATATAATAATCATAATTTACAACATAAGGAAACGTCTAAATTATATCATCGACCTTAAAATTGGCACGGAATTTGAAGCTAGCTAGGAAATGATGCAAATGCAATTCTCAATCTTTTTTGTTCTTTAATTTTTATAGAGGAGAATTGCCACAAAGCTAAGATTTGTTTTTGTATACGAAGCAGTAATTATACATCAAATCACCAATGCTTTACTACGACCAAATCGGATATTTTAGCGTCCAAATTAAACAACTTAGATCTGATTTGATATTGCAAAATGTAATTAGCATGTTCCAAATGCACAAAACCATTTATTATCTATGATCATGATCATAGCAGAACTGGAAGCAAACTTCCTTGAAAAGATCACTCCATTCGTAAGTTCAATTCAATGGGTTTCATGAACCAAATTAACTATATATATTTTTTCCTTGAAATAAATATGAACATCACGCTGGTCTTATATCACTTAAAAGAAATATCATTTTTAATTATTTAACATTCGATTATTACTCTTTCTTTCTCTAAAACAAAAATTAAAATATTATCGATTTATGCTAACAATATGATATACGACACTAACAAATAATTTGTTTGTAAAGAATATTGATATATAATCTTAATACACCTAATATTAGTCTATATACATCATGTTAGTGAAAACCTCCAAAATTTATACTGATAATTTATTTTCGTTAATTTGGCAAAGATTATACTAATATAGACATTTCTAACCTTTGACAATTTTTATCTGATATAATAATACTATTTTTTTTAGCGTTTTATGATTGTATATTTTTAGCAAAATCAAATGATAAGCTAACTAAAAATTGAAAGTTACAAGTTAAAAACTAAAAAAATTAACTTATTTAATTAGAAGTGTTAGGTAAATTTAATTGATAATCTAGCTGAAAAAGTAAAATGAGACAAATGGTATACTTATATGATTTTTTCATATATCAATTTAGATTTTCCAGACAAAAATATTTCTTAGGTAATTATAGTTTTAATTTTTAACAAACTTTGAATTCCTATCATTTTTTTCTTCTAAATATATATATTTTATGAAAAAATAAAATAAATAATGTATAATTAAAATAAATATTATAATGTGAAAATACAAATATATATATATATATATTTAAAAATAGAATAGTAATTAAAATAGTTTTCCTCTATTTATTTATTTGTATTAATACTTTTGAATTGTTATAATTAATATATTAAGAAACTTTTATTTGCTCTTCTTTTCTCTTCATTTATCAACCCTTCAATCCCTAATAAATATAGATATAAATTTATTTGACTTATACCTAAATATAATTTTAGTGTTGATTTTAAATGAGATTTAATAATATATATTATGTATTACTATAATCTAGATCTATATTTTTTAACAATATATCAATATATATTGTTAAATAAAAGTAATTTTCAGTAATAAGTATTGTATTATTATAATTACTACAACAAAATAGACTTTTAGTGACATTTAATATGACTTTTAGTGGCAATAAAAATTGCTACAAAATCTTTTACCGGCATTTTTACATTAGCCATTGTATGCAATGTCGCTAAAACATTTAGCGGAAATTATTCAAAATGCTGGTAAAAACCCTTAATGGTCGAAAAAAGTGTATATCTTTTTGTGACATTTTTTACTTTCTAGTCGATGTGAGACTTGTAAGATGAGTACAAATAAATAATTACTTTATCTCTAGTTGATGTGGGACTTGTAAGATGAGAGTTGTCTTTCTACTTATATATATTCTTTTTAATTACCTTATTTTTAGTTGATGTGGGACTTTAAGATGAAGGTTGTCTTCTATATATATATATATAAAATTTTCTGATCAATAGTCGACCCTCTTAAGTTTAAGGATTATTGAGTTTGATAATAGTGAGTTATCTCATACTAATTTATAATAATAAGTTATAGGTCTAACTCAATCCTACATAACAAACTTGCTGTAAGGTGAGAGTATATTATTCATTTATATACTCTTTAATTATCTTATTTCTAGTCGATGTGGGACTAAAGTTTTTCTTAATAAATAATTGTCGCTAATAGTAAATTTTGGTGTGATATAAATATTTTTTTAGTAACCATTATATATTAGTCACTAATACTTTTATTAAATAACAAAACAAAGGCAATTAATTTATTGCCAGTAAATAATTATCGGTAAAAATGAATTTTGTTGTAATGAATATGAATGTCACTACATGAGATTTCTTTTTTGTATTGTGTCACTAAAGAAATGAATTTCTAATGCAAGAATATTTTTAGGAACTTTTCTTTTTACTAAAGAGTTTTTAATTTTATATTTAATTTGATTTTTATTTATTATAATAATTAATAATTAAGTTTTAATATTTTTAATAAATTATTAATAAATAAAAAATAATATTATGTTAAAATATGAATTATTTATTATAAATCTAAAATATAATTTATATATTTAAAATACTTACTTATTCAGGTTTTGAATATATATTCATATATTTTACATAATTTATTTTAAATTTTAATTATATATAATAAATATTTAACTGTGAATCGGATATATTAAAATAATAATATATATACTAAAAATTAATATACGGTTGAAAAATATACACTAAAACTAATTTTCAAAAAGTACAAAAAAGAAAGGATATAAAAAAAGGGAGGAAAAGTGCAAAAAAGAATGGGCCGGGAAGATAATGGTAGTCAAGGATCAAGGACCCAATTAGTAAGTCAGACTATAGAGATTGAGATGCCAATCCTCGCGTTCCCACCTTGAATCTTTAACATCAACTTTGTAAGTCCTTTACTTATTTGTAATTAGAGTAATAATTCGTGTAAAAAAGTATTCGATTTATAATTTATAAGTTTTATATTATTTTAATTTTAAAAATACATGTTATATATATATATACATATATATAATCTATAAATGTCTTATATTATTTTAATTTATATTACTAATCTGTTTTTAGAAAATATTAAATTTATAAATATATAAATTTAATAAAGTATATTAATAATGAAAATATTTTAAATTACATTTTCTTATTTTTTTATAAATGTTTTTATAGTAAAGAAAATTTGAAGGAAAAAAAACTCTTCGATGGTTACTAATTAATTTTTGTCAATAAACCTGAATGACCATCTTTAGTAAAATTCTTCTCTCTCAACTAAATTTTTTTTTTCATACATAAAATTTAAATTCAAGATTTTTTTTAAAGAAAATTAAGTTTAGTACCACTCGAATCAACGAAGATTTATTGATTGCTTATTTATGTTTTAATAGATAATATGAATAATCTTAATTTTTAATTATTGTAGTTAAAGATAAGTAAAAAAATATGTAAATACCAATTTTATCCTTCAAAATTTAAGGAATGATACATTATTCACGTGTAGTCCAAAATGGGAAAAAAAAACAAAAAAATACTAAACTCGTTTAGATTGTGAATGAGGTAAAAAAAATGCACTAGACAAAGGTGAAGTCTCTGATAGTCAAATTTGATAAGTGATCCATCCGTGCTGCATGTTTAGGGTTTAGGATGACCGTAGATATAATATTAAAATATTGAACGGTTGAGATTTTAATGTAATGATTAAGATTTAAGAATTGCAGAGTAGTCCTTGTAATTTTGATATTTGTCGGTGTTTTATAGGTTTATGAAGGGTTTTGCTGTTGTTTAGGATTTTCCATCATCAGTTGATTTGCGATCCGGTTAGTGTGGTGTTTTGGTTGTAGCAGTTCTGATTAGCAGGTGCGATAGGTGGCGACGTCATTTTGTGGAGAGCATCTTTGAAGTGGGTGTCCGGCGGCCCGTCCGTTGTTGTTGGTGGTAGTCCGCAACCGGTGCGAAGATTTTTTAGGTTTAACAGGTGAGCAATCGATTTTGTTTATTTTTGAAACCTAAAGTGTCTCTTGTCAAGTCTCTACACTCTTTTAGTTTTTTCTAGAGACTTATACATCTTATCTTATGTTTATAGAATTTTCTTTTTCTTTCTTATACATCTTATCTTATGTTTCTAGAATTTTTTTTCTTCTAGAATTTGCATCAACCTCTCTCGCCACCGGAAGAGTCACCAGGTTTCTCGCCACCCACCACCGTCACCCCTGCCCCGACACTGTTGACTACCACCGTGACACCTCTGTCGCTGACGTTGAGTTCGAGTTTCTCCACGATGGAGAAATGTTAGCTCAGAGTGCTAGCAGCGACGAGTCATGTGATCATCATTCCAATGAAATGGAGTTCGATGAAGACGAGGTAGACAAGGATACCATCCAGGAGAATAGAAGATTTTGGGACAACCAACACCAGCTTTTGCAGGTAAAATCGCTTAATCAAATTATATATTTAACTTGTGAAAAAAAAAAAATGTTAAAAGCTTAGATTTTCTTTATATCTGCAAAGAAGGGGTAAGAGTACAAGTTTGTTGGGTTTTGAGGCATGCATATATATGGTGGATGTTTAATTTATCTATTTTTATTAAGTTGATCTTAATTTTGTGCAGGCCACTCTATGCAGAACTAGTTCTTTGGAGTCAAGGATAAGACATGCAACCAAAGAAGCGCTTCAGGAAATAGAAAGTGTTGAAACCGCGTGTGGTTGCGGCAGACAGATACCTGCCACTACTTGCCGAAACTGTTTGATGAGAGAAGTTTCCAGGCACCTTCAGAAAGCAGGATATAATAGTGCTATTTGCAAAACTAAATGGAGAAGCTCACCGGATATTCCCTCTGGTACTTTCACCAATTCCAACCACCTCCATCTTTAATTAAGAAATTAAAACATATCTTGGTGGATCTCAAGATAAGATCCCTCTACTAAACAACATTATCCCCTTTTTTTTATCTTACCTGGGAGAAGTCTCTGTCAAATTTGTGTAAATAAATTATGTCTAAACTATTACTGGTCATCACTTTAGCTACAGGACATTACTCAACTCACAAGATTCCAACTAGTGGATAAAGATTGTCTCTGAAAAAGCTCACTAGAACAACTTATCATTTAAATTATAATAAGTATAATAATTTTTGTAATTAACTCGTATTTTATAATTTTACAAATTCTGAAATTAAATCATTATAATATTATATATGATAAGTTGATTGATGATGTTACGAAAACTGTGTGCAGGGGAACACAATTTTTTGGATGTGATAGAGAGGACAAAAAGGGGGGAGGTGAGGGTGATAGTGGAGGTGAATTTCCGAGGAGAGTTTGAGATGGCGAGGGGAAGTGAGGATTACAATCAACTCGTTGGGAGGCTGCCAGAGGTGTTTGTGGGGAAGGTGGAGAGGTTGAGCAACGTAATAAAGATAGTGTGTATGGCAGGGAAAAGGTGCATGAAGGAAAAGAAAATGCACATGGGACCATGGAGGAAGCATAGGTACATGCAGGCTAAGTGGTTAGGTCCATGTGAAAGGGACACTTGCACAACCTCTTTGTCAATGATGCCAATGCCAATGACAAAGCCAAGGCCAAGGGCATCCATGTTGACCGTTGATCTGCTAGACAAGCTTCCCAATATGCATTGCACACCAGTTGAGGTTGTGTAATTGTGTGTGTGAGAGAGAAGCATAGTTTTTTTTTGGCCCTATTTTGTTTTGGTTTAATTTCCCACCTGGTGAATAGTAAATGAGTGATTCGCAAATGTCCCATATACGTGCACGTAAAAATAAAATTGTGGAAATTATATGAGGGTGCAGTTCAAAGATGCTCTTAATGTTCATATATCTTTATTTATTTATTTATTTATAAATATATATTTCATGTTTCATGACCGATAATCTAAGATGCAGTTCAAAAATGTTGTTAAAGTTCATATACCACTTCAAATATAAGAACAATATTTATCTCGCTTAAAAATTTCTTAAGATATTTTTACATGTAACATGTCAAACTAAAAACAATTAGAGTATGGATGTAATAACCTGTCATATTATAGTATATGAAATCAATACTAGTAATGGAAATTAATCTATTAAAATTTGTTAGTATAAAATAGTTGTGAAGAGAATAGTTGATGGAATAATAGAAACTTATTTGTATTTAGAGAGTAGTAGTAGTGGTGGTAATTATTGTTATTTTTACAATGAAGTCTCAATTTGCCAATTTATAGGCATGGTGTTCCATCTCTAGATGATGGTGAAAATATCTAGAATTTTCTAGACTTTTCAAGTCTCTACACTCTTTTAGTTTTTTCTAGAGACTTATACATCTTATCTTATGTTTATAGAATTTTCTTTTTCTTTCTTATACATCTTATCTTATGTTTCTAGAATTTTTTTTCTTCTAGAATTTGCATCATAATTTAACAAAAATTATAAAAATTTAACTAACAGATATATGAACATAAATAAAATATGAATATAAAAATTCTATCATCATACTAATACAATTCATATACATGTATATACAATAATCCCAAAGATAAATTATATAATTTAGTGTTGGTCAATTACACCTATACAAGCTACACGAAGTAGTAAAGATACCAACTAAAGGGTCTTTCCATCTGACAGTAATTGCACCTGCAGCCTAGTCCCACTATAAGAAAATTGTCACATAGTGACACACTCTATAGTGACACAATATCTGTCACTAAAAATTACTTTTACCCACACAATAAATATAATATATGTTGGTATATTATTAAAAAGTGTAGGTATAGACTTTGTGAAAAAAAAAAAATGTTAAAAGCTTAGATTTTCTTTATATCTGCAAAGAAGGGGTAAGAGTACAAGTTTGTTGGGTTTTGAGGCATGCATATATATGGTGGATGTTTAATTTATCTATTTTTATTAAGTTGATCTTAATTTTGTGCAGGCCACTCTATGCAGAACTAGTTCTTTGGAGTCAAGGATAAGACATGCAACCAAAGAAGCGCTTCAGGAAATAGAAAGTGTTGAAACCGCGTGTGGTTGCGGCAGACAGATACCTGCCACTACTTGCCGAAACTGTTTGATGAGAGAAGTTTCCAGGCACCTTCAGAAAGCAGGATATAATAGTGCTATTTGCAAAACTAAATGGAGAAGCTCACCGGATATTCCCTCTGGTACTTTCACCAATTCCAACCACCTCCATCTTTAATTAAGAAATTAAAACATATCTTGGTGGATCTCAAGATAAGATCCCTCTACTAAACAACATTATCCCCTTTTTTTTATCTTACCTGGGAGAAGTCTCTGTCAAATTTGTGTAAATAAATTATGTCTAAACTATTACTGGTCATCACTTTAGCTACAGGACATTACTCAACTCACAAGATTCCAACTAGTGGATAAAGATTGTCTCTGAAAAAGCTCACTAGAACAACTTATCATTTAAATTATAATAAGTATAATAATTTTTGTAATTAACTCGTATTTTATAATTTTACAAATTCTGAAATTAAATCATTATAATATTATATATGATAAGTTGATTGATGATGTTACGAAAACTGTGTGCAGGGGAACACAATTTTTTGGATGTGATAGAGAGGACAAAAAGGGGGGAGGTGAGGGTGATAGTGGAGGTGAATTTCCGAGGAGAGTTTGAGATGGCGAGGGGAAGTGAGGATTACAATCAACTCGTTGGGAGGCTGCCAGAGGTGTTTGTGGGGAAGGTGGAGAGGTTGAGCAACGTAATAAAGATAGTGTGTATGGCAGGGAAAAGGTGCATGAAGGAAAAGAAAATGCACATGGGACCATGGAGGAAGCATAGGTACATGCAGGCTAAGTGGTTAGGTCCATGTGAAAGGGACACTTGCACAACCTCTTTGTCAATGATGCCAATGCCAATGACAAAGCCAAGGCCAAGGGCATCCATGTTGACCGTTGATCTGCTAGACAAGCTTCCCAATATGCATTGCACACCAGTTGAGGTTGTGTAATTGTGTGTGTGAGAGAGAAGCATAGTTTTTTTTTGGCCCTATTTTGTTTTGGTTTAATTTCCCACCTGGTGAATAGTAAATGAGTGATTCGCAAATGTCCCATATACGTGCACGTAAAAATAAAATTGTGGAAATTATATGAGGGTGCAGTTCAAAGATGCTCTTAATGTTCATATATCTTTATTTATTTATTTATTTATAAATATATATTTCATGTTTCATGACCGATAATCTAAGATGCAGTTCAAAAATGTTGTTAAAGTTCATATACCACTTCAAATATAAGAACAATATTTATCTCGCTTAAAAATTTCTTAAGATATTTTTACATGTAACATGTCAAACTAAAAACAATTAGAGTATGGATGTAATAACCTGTCATATTATAGTATATGAAATCAATACTAGTAATGGAAATTAATCTATTAAAATTTGTTAGTATAAAATAGTTGTGAAGAGAATAGTTGATGGAATAATAGAAACTTATTTGTATTTAGAGAGTAGTAGTAGTGGTGGTAATTATTGTTATTTTTACAATGAAGTCTCAATTTGCCAATTTATAGGCATGGTGTTCCATCTCTAGATGATGGTGAAAATATCTAGAATTTTCTAGACTTTTCAAGTCTCTACACTCTTTTAGTTTTTTCTAGAGACTTATACATCTTATCTTATGTTTATAGAATTTTCTTTTTCTTTCTTATACATCTTATCTTATGTTTCTAGAATTTTTTTTCTTCTAGAATTTGCATCATAATTTAACAAAAATTATAAAAATTTAACTAACAGATATATGAACATAAATAAAATATGAATATAAAAATTCTATCATCATACTAATACAATTCATATACATGTATATACAATAATCCCAAAGATAAATTATATAATTTAGTGTTGGTCAATTACACCTATACAAGCTACACGAAGTAGTAAAGATACCAACTAAAGGGTCTTTCCATCTGACAGTAATTGCACCTGCAGCCTAGTCCCACTATAAGAAAATTGTCACATAGTGACACACTCTATAGTGACACAATATCTGTCACTAAAAATTACTTTTACCCACACAATAAATATAATATATGTTGGTATATTATTAAAAAGTGTAGGTATAGACTATAGTGACACACAAAATATGTTGTTAAATCTCATTCAAAATGGTCCGTTAGATCTACAATTTCCATTTTAGGCTCCAGAAGACTAACATTAACGTTGCTAACAAAAATAAAAGTGCCAAAAGATTAAAAAAAACAAAAAAAAATGATAAATTAAAAAAAAAATGATAAGTTAAAGTTATTGAAAATAAAGGGTTGCAATTATATGTACCTTTTTGAAGTGTGGGCATTTTCGTTATTAATTTGAGGATATAATATTTCCTCTTCAGCAGCAGTAAAGATACGCAAGTTAAAGTTGTTTGACCCCTTGTACCAGAACTCAGCAATATGTTTAGTTTTGATACCATAAAAATCTATCATTTCATTGACCCCTTTATTAAACATACCTATTGTTTTACATAAATTTTTGAGATAAACCTTGAACATATTCCCTTTTGGGTCAGTAATGATACACTCGCCTGGTTCTATTTTACAAATCCAGTACTTGTAAAAGTGTGCATTAATATAGATCCGACCCTACAGAAAATGAAAGAAGGATATATATATATATAAATTATGAATACGATGGAATTATGTTAATTAAATTTAATTAACATACAATATAACCAACTTAGGTAAATTCTGTGAAGGACGACTTATACAAGTGGTGTATGGATGCATGACTTTTATTGATCACTACATGTATGTAAACGTTTTAATACAGCCTATGGCAGAACATGAAACTTTGAGAATTTTGTATTGAAGTTTTAAAATAAAATAAAAAAATTGAACGAAAAAAGTTAATGACCCTTGTTGATGTTTAGGGTTTCATGTGGAAGGGGCTGTTGTGAATGTCAATAGCAGTTGCGTTGTTACATTCGAAGATTTGTTATTTGGGTCATTTTAAAATTAATTACTTTAATACAAAATTCAGAAACTTTTATCTTCTGTGATAGGGTGTATGATAGGTAATACGATTAGATGCATGTAATGGTGATTATTGATGCAACACGTATGCAGGACTTGTAAAAGTTGTGTATGAGAGACATGACCAAAATCTTCACCTTATTTGGGGTGACGTCGCATCGGAAGTGTGTTGGTGGTTTTCCGGATCTGGGTTGTTTAAGAACTCCATTTTTCTACATTGAAGGAGGAAGAAAGACAAGTAAAATGACGGGTTTAGGGTTTACGGTTGATGTTATTGTGTTTTTTCATATATAAACCGTAAAGTGTAAAGGTAAAAAGAGATAATGACAAAATAATGTATGGAATGCATCGAGATCGTCATAAATCAATGTGGGTTATACATGCAATGGAAAACATTGATTTTATTTTTATGATACACATGATGAAGAACAGTGTAAAGGACGAATTAGAATGATTAATCGGTAAAATGTTAATCGGTAAAAAAAGTGCATTTTTTACAACAACGACAATGAATAGGAAGAAGTTACCGGAAGATGGACAATGAAGTTGTTCAGATGAGTGTGCGAAGAAGATGAGTCTGGGAAGAAGATGAGTCTGCGAAGGAGATTACTCTGGGAAGAAGATGAAAGTTGTTTTTTGTGTTGTAGTTGGTTCGGCGACCCAGGTGAAAGGATGTCACTTTATCTGTGTTTACTGTTTATGAGGCCCCTTTGAACCGTTGGATTTCGTGAAAAACTGGAAAATAAAAAGTCAGTCATTGTTGCCCCGTTTCACTTTCCGCAGTCGTTTTGGTTTGAAATGTCAACAGTTGCCGGGGAATAAAGATTGGTTTTTGTCTTTTTGAATATTAAAACGACCCCACTGTACCTTCCGGTATCAGTAATAAGTATTTCTCGTAATGGAAAAAGCATATGGGGTGGTTTAATTTGTTTAATTATATTATTATTATTATACATTAAATTGAACATTAAGAATTTGTGGCCGTCTAATCCGGAAGTTGAGAATTTTAAAAATTAATATAAATTTATGATTCTTTAATAAAAAAGTAACGTTTTGAATTTATTGTTTTATTTTTGAAATGGATTTCGTTTTAAAGTAGTTTTGGATAGTATCTGTTACCAAATTTATTTAATTATTTTAAATTTCCATGTTCATAGCAATAAAATGGAGTGATTAGTAGAAATTTATTCAGCCTTGTGTATTCAACTTGTTTGTTACTGAAAAATATATATTAAATAATATTTAATTCATAAAATGTAGTTAGTAAGTACATTGATGCTATAATGTTGTGTTTTTCGTGGTTCATTGATGGACTTAGGCAGCAATAGTCGAAAATGATTTGTGGAATGTTTATTTGTGGAAAAAAAATGCATATTACTGTAATTTAAAAATATAAATTTTTTAATATGAAACGAAAATATTTATAATTTATGCAAATATTGGGTTGCGATTAAGGTTGGTGTTGTCGTATGTTGTTGGCACGTGGAAAGTATAATCCCAAAATTGGGGTTTATTGCTGAAATTATACGGTGAAAATTAAAGTAAAAAATAAAACCATGCATCGGACTAATAATATAAAAAACGATATAAAAAAATTCTTCAAATTTATAAAATGTAAATAAAATAAATTCAATTTAATAATAAACAAACCTTTGTTATTGTGGAGGTGTATTCTTGTTTGGTGTGACCTGCAAAGACAACCAAATATATATTTCGCCACCATACAAGCAAACTAAATATTTTCATGCAAGTATTAATTAAACACATAAAAATATATAAATGGATGAGAATATTAAAGTAGCAGTATCAAAAAAATAAATTACAAAATAGTAAATGTTTAGTTCTAAATTCGAAGTAGCAGTAGCAACCGTAAACCCGCGCATGTTCAGAATCAAGCTTTGTCAACATTCAAAACTAAATAATTGGGGTCATTCATTTTTTCAATTTTCAACATTTGGTCTTCGTTGTATCCTTGTCGCTTAATCAGTTGACCCCATTCTTTGCCCACGTAAAACTCCTTTTTGTTACGCTTTGTACACTTTCTTTTAATGTCAGACTTCACCATATTTCCTTGCTCATCAATCAACACACAAATTTTGTAGTTGTTCACGTTCCAGACATCAACATATTTGACTAGAAAATACTGCAATGAGTAAAAGTTGTTCGTGATAAATGTTAATATTCATTTATAAATATAAAAACTAAAAATAGAATTCATTTTATTGCTGACCAATGGCTGTCGTCTGGTTGAAGCGGCCTTTGTCAGCGTTGGAAACCAACTTATTGGATGTTTTTCAAGTTGGGTTGCAGGATGTGTTTCAAGTTGGGTTGGTGGAATGGTTTCATCATTGTCAACTAAATGTTGATTTTGAATTCCAGGTTGCATAATTTGCACAGTATCCATGCTGAGAAAATAAAAACTGTAATTTACTAGTACAAATATTAATAAAATAATAATACATTGGGTTTATGTGTATGTAAACTTTACCCGATATCTGTTGAAGTGTTGTTGGTTTGTTTTTTCAACTGAGGATAACATATTTCCTCCTCAGCAAAATTATAAATACGCATATGAAAATTGTTAGTGTCATTGTAGTAGAAGTCAACCATGTGTTTGGATGTCAGACCATAGAAATTTACAATTTGTTTTACCCCATAAAACATGCCAACAATTTGTCCTAAATTTTTCAAATTAAGTTTAAAGGTGTTCCCGTTTGGGTCTCTTATCATGCAGTCGCCTAGTTCTATCTTACCATTCCAATGTCTGTAAAACTGAGCATTTAAAAATATCCTATCCTAAGAATAACAAAAGAATTCAACGAACGATCAGTATGAATATTAATACTTTGTAATAGTATTAAACGATTTATATGGAATTTGAAACAAAAAATATAAAATAACTTAACCCTATTCGGTGATAACTCAGAGCGGAACGGTTTGACTATGTTAACCATTTCAGAATTCATAAGAGGGTCCATTTTCTGCATTTTAAGGTTTTTATTTAATATACACGAACATGCAACAAAGACAATACATGGGATGAAAAATAGAGTTTTAGAATCAATGATTTTGTTTATGATAACAGTAATAATAATCATAAAAAACTAAAGGTTTGTTAATTTTTTCGTGAAATTTGTTATACTATAAAACTGGAAGTTAGTCAAAGGTAAAACAACATACATTTAACTGTCCTGAATATGTATGTGTTAAGAAAGAAATGTCAATAAAATAAAGTAAAAATATAAAATTTTCGAATGAAATACAATCATACTAGTAGATCCTGTTTAGGGTTGCAAAATGGAAAGGCGGTGAATTTCGGTGAATCCCTTCAATGGATATTAGGATTTTCGCAGATGGAAGACGAAGAAGATGAAATACTTGCTTTTACGAATCGTCTGTATCCCACTTGTGAAAAGAAAATATGATTTTCTGAAACGTGTAATTAATAACTCTCCATCGTGCGTTTGGCAGTTGGAATTATAAATGCTTACGTGTATCTATGGAAAGCAAATGAAGGGTCACATGGCTTTATTTATGTATATATTTTATTTTATTATAATTAGTTGTTTTTTTTAATTCATTGTTTTTAATAATTTATGTTTATCAAATTTCTTATGTCTTTAAATTTTTTTTTATATTTTTTAAATTTCATCTTAATGTACCATGTATTATAATTAAATATTTTAATATTAATATTTTGTTAATATGTTTAAAGTTTTTTTCAGTCTTAATTATTGAATTTATAATATTAATTACTTATTCAATTACATTATTTATTAATTTCGTTTTTATTATTTATTAATTTTTGTATTAATTTAATAATTTTATAAATTGATTATAAATTTTCTTTTTTAGTTTTTAATAGTCATTGTTTGGTTTAACGTTCCCATGCGTGTTAATGTTGGTTAGCGGTTTATTTAAAAACAAATTTCTTCATAAACTATTAATTAATAAATTTCATTATATAATTTATTTAATAAATGTTTTCTTCAAATTCCATATACCAATGAAATAATATAATATATATATATATATAT